TCCAGTCAGCCTAGCAACCCACCTCGCCTCGCTGCTTTTGAACATGGCCCGCTCCACTTCCTAGAATTATGATCCTGTTTGTAAAGGCTAAAAAAAAGAACCAGGAAAGTTCAATATTTGGGGATCCGGGGGATACAAGATGGCCATGCACAAAGAGAGCACACACACACACACACACACACACACACACACACACACACACACACACACACACACACACACACACACACACATTCTGTCTCTCTCTCTCCATCAAACCTTGTTCTTATCCTTTGACAAACTCTGTGTGTTTATTTGTGTTTTCAATCTTTAATTCAACAGATTTTGACAGATTTTGGTTTCGTCTTCTACCGCTGATGCTAATTTATGCTGCTGCATAACCGACATGTCTATTATCGCAATAAAAAGGGAAATCATGGTTTATATGTGTCTTAAATATTCAAGAGGTTCTCTGTGCTTTAAGCAGATTTAAGGACACAAACATCATTGTCTCCACACCATGACCGCTCCAACAATCTCTGTGCTCAGTCACACACAAACAAGCAGAGACATTTGCATTCGAATGTCATGCATTATATTTTAAAACCATGAAACCATCAACAAAACACACGCATACACACACACACGCATCTCGCACTGTGTGCTTACACCTGCTCACCACACACGCAGCTTGACATCTACCATACACACACACACACACACACACACACACACACACACACACTCACACTCACACACACACTCACACTCACACCACTCTTCTCGCCACTTTGTCAAGAAAACAGTCGCTCACCCAAGTGCCGACTCACACGCATAGCAGGTGCCACAGGTGAGCGTGGCGACTCTGCAAGCTAATTGCGGGCAAATCCTTTTGTGCGTTGTGTGTCCAGGGGCCTTCCCTTAAGAGCATCCATCAGTGTTTTTCCTCCATCGCGCGTTCCTCCAGGGAGTAGCGCCCCCCCCACACTGCGCTCAGCAGACCTCTCTCTCGCTCGGCAGACCTGGCAGGAGAGAATAAGGGGCCGTGGACACCGGCCCAAATCTGCTAATTATTTCTTTCTTTCTGTATCAATTATTTGTTCATAACACCGCCCTCCCCACTTCCGCCCAGGGTCTCCAGACACCTGATAAAGCCCCCATAGTGCACACACACACACACACACACACAACCACTCACATGCTCTCTCACATACACACACTCATTCTCAAAGAAATACATATGTAATTACAAGTGCGCACACACTTTTTCATGTGAACCAACAAGCACTTACTGTACATCCATTTTTATTTACAGGCACACATGCACAGAGACTGGAGCGCACACACACCTTGGCACATACTTAGGAACACACTTACACACCCAAGTACACACACACTCGTTCACCTCCCACTGTGCTCCATTCAAAGCCTTAGAGGCACTAATTATTAGAGTAATGGTTGTGAGAGGTTGGGTTCCGGGGATTTTGTGTGTGTGTGTGTGTGTGTGTGTGTGTGTGTGTGTGTGTGTGTGTGTGTGTGTGTGTGTGTGTGTGTGTGTGTGTGTGTGTGTGTGCTGGGGGGGTGTAGGTTAGAGGCTGTTCTCACATCTGTCACTTGTTAAATTAGCTTGAGACAATGCCAGAGCCAGACCAGATCACATTGTTCAACACATTTACAATTACTAAAATAGTTCACATTAAGTCAGGGTGTGACTGGTGGAGATGTGTTCGTGCAGTGTTGTGACTGTGTCATGCTACTTAGTGTAGAAGTGACTTGGTAGTCTGCACTGCACCTCTGCAGTGTCAAAAGTTCAAATATATTCCACTCAAACAAACAATTTTTTAAGTATCAATTAAGCTGTCGATCATTGTCTCAGTTTTTTTTTTTCTATGAAATCAAAATGGAGTGAAGAACACACACAGATTGGTTGATCTTGCCCATGAAACAGTTAATTTAATGCATAAATGCAACTCAGAATTTATCACCAACACAAAACAGTGCACTTACAAGTCCTCCAGGGTGGTCTTGTTCCAGCAATGCATGTGAGGTCACAGGCAGGGTGAGTGAAACACGCACGTACCAGTGCGTCATCACTGACAACTGTCAAGAAAAGTAGAGGTCGAATGTTGCACTTTCCAACAGTTATTATTTATGTAGATGTAAAAGACAAGTTGCTGTGTCTAGTTTGCAGAGACGTGGTTCACAAGACCATATTCTGACAGAGACGATGCTGACAAGTTTTGTGGTGAGCAAGCCAAAATTGTAAGTATGTTAGTGTAGAAGTATTAGTTTCTCTTAAAGAGCAGTCACAGAGTGGATTAATCTTACTTTACAAGATACTGGCATCGAAAACATTAAATGACATACCCAAGAAATTACTGGTTTTTCATTAAGGCCTGTTTCTGTGCACGGGATCGCTGCCAGTACAAGTCATGTAATGAAAATCGCAGATGGAAAGGTTTGATTCTAAAAGAGTGAAAGCCTTGTCGTTAGAGGTTTTGGGACATTAAAAGCAAACTAAGAGGGGTAACAGAATGTGTATACATGCCGTGTAATATAGAACCAGCTGATGTGTTTAACAAGCTACGACATGATATCAATGAGCTCCGAGCTACAACCTCCCTCTGCTCGACTTCTATAAACTATTTTTCCCATTCCGAGGAGACATGCACTGAAGGTAACATCAGCTGCTTACCAAATCTGGAAAACCAGTTGTCATCATTGCATAAGAAAGGTTTGTGTGATTTGTGTTTAATTATTTAGTAATATATAGCAAATATTTGTCTTTTTTTTTTAAAGTATAAATACATTTTCTTTTAATCAACTAGAAGATTAAAACTAAAGTCACTATGTAATGACAGAGAATTATTTGAAATTTTTCTGAAGAGGATTTAACAACTTTCTACAGCAAAAGTGTGTCAATATATAAATGCTGAAGAAAATCCCTTTTTAAATTTGTATGGTTTGAAGTAGCTGTACAGTCTGTCTTTTTTATATTGGCCTCACTGAGACGACCAATGAGCAGCAGCCAGGTCTGTTTTTTTGTTTCACGATGTGACAAAGGATGGCTTACTATCCTCTGTAAAACTTTCTATCCTCAATGCCGGTTACATCCGTGTTCCTTCCATGAGCTCAGATTGCATCATACAGAGCTGCAGATTACATATATTTTACACCATCAAAGTATAGCAGCCTCCTTTGGCTGATGGCTGGGCCAAACTGTGCATATGCTCCACGATTAAGCATCCTTAAGTGATTTTTCATAGCCGGTTTCATTTACCCATGTTTAAATGTGCTTTGGTTAAGCCCATTGGCCTCTTATGTCAACATGCTGCTGAGGAGATGGTATTAAATGGATTTAGGCGACTATCTTTGCGTGTGTATGTGTGTGTGTGTGTGTGTGTGAGGTCAGACTGTGTGTATGCTTTGATTTGTTGTTGCATTGTTTTATGCTTGTGGTTGCAAATTTGCAATTTGTAATGTTGTGTGGCACTGCATGTGTAAAGCATGGTTCTAGGCTTGCATGAATACATGTTTATCTGTGCATGAACGTAAACACTGTGAGAGTGCTGGTGTGTGTGTGTGTGTGTGTGTGTGTTCTCGGGGGTGTATCGCTGTGGGTCATAAAGGTCTGGCCCTTAATGCCAAATCAGCCACCTGGTCCCAGATTGGGACACAGCCTGGTTTCATATCCCCTCCTTCATTTGGGAATGAATGGGATTAATCTTAATCCCGTAGACACCCATAGAGATCAATACTAAACTGCATTTAACTTGATTTGTCTGTAATCTATTACAAAGTCGCTTACCATTGCATTAAACGTTGTTTCGTAGAAGCTGATGCAACATTAATGGCTGTAGTTTGTAGTGGTTTAAGCCTTGAACCAGTTTTCATTACAAATGCTTCATAATCCAACCTCAGTGTAGGGACAGAGACTCAATTGACCTGATTTAAGATGCTAGTTTTTCTGTATTTTCCTGCAATGTTTCACTTCCCTCCTGAATATTTGCATATTAATTTGAAATTTTCACACAACAGGATGATTTGAAGTGTAATCATACCAATACCCACACATTTATAAATACACACATGCCGTGGTTAATTGCCGGTTAGATTTCTAAATCTCGGGGTGCAGCCTTACTCGTTCAACTCAAAGCAGGATATCTGAGAGACATGTGTAACAACCCCCCCTTCCTTTCCATTTAATTGGTTTCATAAACAGATTAATTTGAAGGAGAGGGGGGCTTAATTGCTAATCAGCGTTTCCACGCAGCTCCTGAAGAGTTGAACAGGATCAAGTTTCCACCACAAAAAGGTCTCAAAGCCTTCAGTGCTCCGACAGGAAGGGAAGAGAGAGAGAACGGCAGAGGAAGGGAGGTACAAAGAGTACGGGATGCAATGGAGAAGAGAAGAGAGGGTGAGGAGAGGTGAAGGGAAGATACGGAGAAATTAGATGGAAAGAAAAGGTAAAGAGAGGGAAAGAGGTAGAAAGTGAGACTGAACTTTTCCACTCCTATTTCAAACACAATGACACGGATAATGACATATCGTACTGTAGTTTATTAACGTTGAAGCAACATATAGGTTCACAAACACACAGAATAGAGGATTTACAAACTGCAGAGGGAACCATCCTGTCAGCGAAATGAAACAGCAGCAGAATGGGTACACATTTCTGAGATTGTAAATTCAGAAAGTCTCTACATTTTCTAAAAAGGTTAATTTCACTTTTAGTCCCATTTTTCCCTTGTATTGTAATTCAAGGCACTGTGTTTTACATTGTGTATGTGTACTCTTTGGACTCTAAAGTTCAATAATAAACATTTGTTTTAATTTGAATCCTGACATTAACTGATATACGTGATGATGTCATCCCCAGCGCTGCTGAGCGATAGGCTGATCCTGCTGTCCTTCCTGGAGCAGAACCAAGTGGCTGCAGTTTTCCTCAACAGGAAGAACCAGGACTCCCCAGAGAGTGGCAGGAGAACAGACAAACTCTCACCCTCTGAAATCAAGGTACAGTAGGAGGCCCTGATGGAGGAGTCTACTGAAAGCATGGGTAATGTGTGTGTGCTTCAGTTTGTGCATGTGTGCACTGATGTGTTTGTAAAAGAGGAAAGTAGAAACTAACAGAGTCAAAGGAAGGACGAGACCAAGGGAAAGATGAGAAGTGTTGTCTCATATCACTGTCCAACTCCCCTCTTCGTCCTACCTGAGGACAACATGTCCAAAATCTTGTTCTCAGATAAAATGAAACCTGATTAAAAGTTTCAAAATGTAGAATACGGTTGCTTTCAATAGAAATATCTCTAAAATGGCAAATGTGTGAATACTGTAAATAAATTCTAGAAATCTTTGGAGCGACTACAAAACCTGCTTAGAATTAGCAAGGATTGTATTAGTCAGATAACTCATTAGCTACACACCTTAGTATCTACCTTCATCACAACTTTTCCATTCAGTATTTTCTCGTTTATTGCCGTGTCAATTTGATACCCATATATCCTTCTGGTCCATGTGGTCATATACAACGACAAAATCTTCAAGCAGTGAGTGTTCGTCCAGTGTGTGTTTGTATTTCTGTGCACAACAGGTAGGTTCAATGTGAGCACCATGGGATCACGGCTTTTACTGTGGGATCAATGTGTCCAGGTCTCCTCTAATTCTCTGCGTCTTTCCTGTTTCTGTCTATTAATCTCTTATAAAGGTGTGTGTCGAGAGGCAGTGTGATCTGGAGCTGATTTCTGCTGGTGTTATAGTAATAGGTCTGATTATGTGTTGTCCTGTCCTCCCTCCCCCAAAACAAAACCCCACTGTGTCCTCCCTCAGTCGCTGGCTAACCGCTAACCCTGGCATTATCACATTACTGCCAGACCCTTTTGTTAAAGTGTGTGTGGGTGCGTGCGCATGTTGGTGTGTATAAAGGCAGTCGTTCCTGCCGTGCGTCTGTCTCCAGAAGCAAAGTCCTGATAAGACACCCCCCCTCCCACCATGGCCGCTACCCCCTAACACATACACATTCATTCAACCACCCCCCCCCGCACCCCTGTCAATACATGTGCATGGAACCTGCAACATACACATGTGTGCACACGCACGCTCAGCGACCCATCCCCCCACAACAAACACACATAGACACACACATACACATTGCCCTGGTCCAGTGGGCTAAGCTGGAGAAGGGAGAGTGGGGGGCATTGGGGGGGGGGGCGCTAAACTAATCCAGCCCACAGAAAGTGGTTTTTGATTATTGCTGACCAGCAAACGCCAGCAGAAAAAAAAACTAGAAGAGGGGGAAAGATGGGTAGGGATGGGGTGATGGAGAGGGTGTGCGGGGGTAGAGATAGAGTGTGTTATTAACCCGCTGATTTTCTGATTTTTTTCTTCTTCTTTTCCATTTCTAATCTGTTAGTGATCTCCCGTTCAGCTATTTGGGGCAAGTCTTTGTTCCCTTTATCATCAGATGTTCTTCCATCATTTTCATTCGTCTCTGTATTTTGTGTCCAAAGCAAATTCCCTCCCAAGGGGGCAAGACGGGCAGACATGGACCACTGAACCTGAAATCTGCTCTACTCATACAGTACAACTTGTCAATACACTAATTTCTGCATGTTCTTGGCCTTTTGAAAATGTTTTTGTTCTGAGGAGTATGTGTTTTTTACTTATTTAATTTCTAAAGACATCCCCACATTTGACAACACACTGTACCTATCTAGTGGGATTTAGATTTTACATCTGACTGCTTTTTTCCTGTTTGAAACATTTATTTTGACCCAAACCTCCCATTTATCTATTTCAGAAATCCAATTATTCTACTTTTTCCTCTTCTTATGTATGCCTTTTGTTTTGTCCTTCATTCCTCCCTTTATTTAAGCATTATTTATTTCCATTTCCCAATAGCTGAAGTGCACAAAGGTGGTCATCACCCCTCATCCCTTGTTCTGTCCAAATCCAAACAATCTGATTTTTTGTCATTACCACCTTTTATTCCTCCTTCTTCCCTCCTTCACCTCTGCCTTCCCTCTATCTGTCGCATCCTAACCACTCATCTGCACCATGACAAAGGTCGTGTGTGTGTGTGCGCGTGTGCGTGCGTGTGTGTGTGTGTGTGCAGTAATGTATGTTAGCCATTGACTCTGGTTTAACTGGTTTATTGTGTTTGTGAGTGTCACTGGAGATTAACTGTGTATGAAAGGCCTGTGAATTAAATTGGTGTGTGTGTGTGTGTGTGTGTGTGTGTGTGTGTGTGTGTGTGAGCATATCTGTGTTTAAATGCCTTTTTTATGTATGCACATGTGTTTGTGTGCATACATGCATGCATTCATGTACGCGTCTGTGTGTGTGTGTGTTTCCGTGAAAATGTGTGTATGTGTGTGCCCCGAGCGCCACGAGAGCTCATTACCGTGCGTCTCTTTGTTGTGGCCTGTAGAGCGTGGCAGACCTTCCCAAAAATATGCACATCACTAAAACAACAAGCCCGAAAGAACAAAACACACACAGACATTAATAATGGAAGATATAAAAAACAACCTGAGACATCAGCACAAACACAATCAAGGAAAGACAAGAGGAATATTTGAGGCTTCAGAAGTTTTAGAACCCTTAGGTGTTTGAACAGACCAGAGACGGGAATCAAAATGGATGAATCACCTCATGATAGTCTCGTAACTTTCCCTTCTTCATAAGATACACGTATACTCTGTGGGTGTATCTGCCAGCATTGATGTGGAGTGTATTGTCCATTTTGTCTTCCATGTCCAGGTGGTGTCTGTGGAGGTGGGCACACGCGGTTGTAGGCTTCGCAGACACGTGGGTCTCAACCGTCTCCAGGATGTGGCGCTCTGCTGGTGGAACTTAGACGAGGCCGGTGAGGAGCTGTGGCCCTGGACTCCTACAGACGCACACAGGAACAACCTGGTCCTCCTCAGCTGCTCACCCACTGAAGGTCTCAAGGTAAACATACACATCAAGTCCAGACCGGAGGTATTTGGACAGTTATACTATTTTAGTTTCAGTCTCTGTCTTAGCTTTCATGTAAGTATATTAAAATCAACAAGATCAATTGTCTTTCTCTGCCAGTCGAGGTTATTCCACCTCCTGGAAATCCAATCTGATTGGAACGTGGACCAACCCTTTACCTGTGTAAGCATATGGGAGGGGTCAAAGGAGTCTGTCCATTCAGCTTATGTGTTTTGACTTTGAGAAAGTTTATGACCTTGTCCTATTGGAAAGTCTCATGGGGTTACTGCAGGAATATCAAGTGGTACAACAGCCTGTGGCGTTCTTGTATAAATGGAGCAAAAGCTGTGTCCATATTTTGGCAATAATTCAAGTATGCTCTTGTTGAATGTTGGCTTGCCACTGATTCTCTGTGTGATTCATAGCCACAGACTAGGAGTGCAGAGTGTCCTCTCCGGCGACCTCAGTATCCTGCCAGCAATCCATCAATGTATGGAAAATGGAGGATTGCTCCCTTTCTTTCCCCTGGGATGCGAGTTGCCATCCCAAGTGAAGGAATTTAAGTCTCCCCTTCACAAGTGATTGTTAGATGGAGCGCGAGGTCGACAGGTGGATCTGTGCAGAGCTGGCAGGGACATTGGTATTGTGTTAAGGATGCTAAAGCTAAAGGAGAAGCTGTTTCAACCCTCATCTGTGAAATGAGTTGTAAACGGTCGCTGAATGAGTTTATCAGTCAGTGTCTGGAACTCATTCTTAGCGAGATCTGACTCGAACTCTTGTTTCTTCAAAGTCATCTGATCGGGATGCCTCCGAAACACCTCCTCTGGAGATTTTTCTGCCTCAGGGAACATCCACAACACGCTGTCAGGGTTACATATCCCACCTGGCCTGAGAACACAGAGAGATCTCAAGATCTGATGGACAAGGCCGCTACGGCAACACAAACCTTGACAATTGACAGAAACCAGATCGATGGTTGGACGGAGCACCGATTGAGTTCACATGGAAATATCACATTCACCGAAGAAACAGGAGCAGAAGTTTCTCTTCCATATTTCTTAAGGAATTTGAAGAATAAGTGATAGTTTATCATAACATGTAAAAGACATAAATATAAAACAGTTCAATAGATATTCTGGCATATTTTATATTTTATAATTATCAAAGTGATTCATACTGAAATAATACTCACCTACTTGTTGCACTGTCTGACACTTTGAAATGGTAAAATTTAGACTGTATTTTTCAGAACTTTTCTATTCTTACAAACACACATTCTTACAGCCCTTTTATATACGGCACTTTATCTTTCGCACATTATTCATACTCTGATGCCGTCAGGGGATATGTGGGGTTCAGTGTCTTGGAGTTGCTGGGATTGAATCACCGACCCTCTGGTTACCGGATGACCCGCTGCCTCCTGAGCCAAAGCCGGCTCCTCAGCTTTTGATAAAGCCATGATGGATATTGTTTGTCGTGGTTCATTGATGGACACAGTTATTTGTTGGAGATGATGGACAAGCTTCTTTTCTGTGAGGAAGGTTGAATTCAGACACGAGAGACGATGATTCTCAGTTGAGACTCTTTAATGTAACATTAAGTCAATGTTCGCTCTCAGCATGCATTCAACACACAAATGAAGAAATGCACACAGTTTACATGACTCTCTATGTGTTCCTTACACGGACATAAAGTATTTATGTTCTACATTCTGCATCCTGAGGTGTAATTGTCCTGTGGCATCATCTTCTATGAGACAGAACATGTCAAGCCACAAATTATAACTCAAGCTGTCTGATTTGTCGTGCACACACACACACACACACAGAGTGAGGACACAGTGAAAAGGCTGCTGTTTTCAGTAGAGTCCTGTGTTGCATGGATGGGATTGGGGACGGTGTGTTAGTCACCTCGAGGGTGGCACCTCTGTGTTGCACCTCCATGTATCACCATATGAAATGAGCAGGAGAGCTAAGCTGCGGTACCGCGTGGAAGAAAACGCCTACACAGTCACTCACACTCACTAAAAAAAAAAAAAACCTACCCGTGACCCTATTCTGTGTCAACCTGGTCTCGTGCCAACAGCAGATGAAAGATCCCAAATTACCGAACCGAGCTTAACTCTACTCCTCGTACCGTGTACCTCGGTAAGCATATGCAAAATATTCACCACACCAGAGAGAGAGAGAGAGAGTGGAGGGAGTCTGCGAGAGGGAGAGGAGATGAGCATTACCAATCGCATGCTAGGAAAACAAATTCACGCAGGAGAGAATGAAGGAGGGATGGGAGGTGGTGGTGGTGGGGACACATGAATATTGAAATAATCAAAGCAGATGCTGTTCGCTGCTTTTTCCGCTTCTTGTTTTTGGAACGCTCTCCACATTTATCACACTCCTTCACCTAGTTTATTCTCTCTGTCTCCTTCAACACCCCCCTTTCCTTCTCCTCCTTCCTTCCTCCACGCTTCAAGAACATTAAAGTCTCTTCGTGGGGCTGCAGCATCGCGCCTCTAATGAAAGCGTTTGTTGTCATTTTTCAGATGCGCGGTGTGAAATTAAGCGAGCAGTTTATATAAGAGCCGTGGCAGGAATCAAACGCCGGGCACACATCGGGAGACGCCAGCTACTTCAATCACTTCAAGCTCATATATATGTTCCTTTTGTTCAGTTCGCTATCTGCCGCACTAAGCCAATTTTCTAGCCAGTCTCTCGGCATTTAAAAAGTCTGATTTTTTTCCCTATGTGGTCTTAATTCATATGCCCCCCCCCTCCACATGCTGATAAGTGGAGCCAAGGCACACAGGGGGGTGGAGGGTGGGAAGGAGAGGAAAAACACATACACATAGTTTGTTTTTACACGATCAGTTAACGTTTTTAATGATCCCCCTTCATGTTTCCCTCTTTTCAACACCCCCCCTCCCAATAAATACACACTCATGCACAAACAAACCATTTCCTGGAATTTAATAATCTTAATGAAAAGAAAAACGCAGAATTATTTATTTATTTATTTACATTTTAAGTCTGTTTAGCTTTTTTTGTGGTTGTTTGTGAACACACGTTTTTTTTAAGGTGTGCGACTATGCCGTTATCTGTCACCCAACAGTTTCTCTGCATCCGTGTGATTTCTGCTGTCTTTTTAATTATTATTGACTCCAGCACTGTGCTGCGCGGCATCCGTCTCCTGCAAAACAACAAAAACCTGAACAAAACCAAGCATTAAAGACAACCTTGAATTAAGTCATTGGCATTGAGAGAATGTGTAACTGCATAAAATTAAATATTCCACAACCTGTGCTTCATTTCCTCCTCAACTGTGAGAACACTGTGGTTAAGTAAGAGTGTGTTAAGAGGCTAAAGCACATGTACAATGGGTACATTTGCCTCTAAAACATAAAATCTAGAGAATTAAATGTGCAGTAAAGCATGTGCAGTAGAAAGCACATTTTCAGCAGTGCACTGGAGTCATAATTTGGACCATGAAAGGGTCGAGTGTGGAATCCAAAGAGCAGAATTACCCCCAAGCTCCACTGCCTTGTAAAAATCTTACAGGAAACACTTCTGCTGCAGTTTCAGGCCGAGTGAAAAATATTCCGTCTGCACTCTAATTATGTTCAGTGGCACCAATTATGACAGTGAAGGTGTGAGGGAAATTTTTGGTTGGTAATCCCGCCGTGCCTGTGTATTTTCTCACATCAGTACCTCAACTCTTAACCCTAATTCACATACCTAAAACTTCCCATCCACCTCCCCCTCATCCCTTCATCCCTCGTCTCTCCTCAGAGTCCCTCGGCCGGTCTCTCTCTGCCCGTCTCTCCCTGTCTTTCTCTGCTCCGTGAGCTGGAAAATTGGCTTCAAAAGGCCACTGCTGTGAACAAGGGCCAGCCACACAGTCGGTCCCGTCCGCTTTATCTTTCACGCCACGGAGGGGGAAAAAAAGGAAGAGAGCGAGAGAGAGAGGAGAAGAATGGAGAAGAATAGTTTTGACCAGTCACTGAAACCAATAAGCAGGAGAAAGCTACTTACTCAAGGCCTCTCTCTCTCTCTCTCTCTTCATCTCTCTCTCTTTGCATTTCTTTCTCTGTCTCTGTCTGTCTCCACCCTCTTCCTCTCTCCTCTCCTCTCCTCACTCACTCCACTTTTTCTCTTCATCTTTTGTGATTTTTTTTGGTCAGTCTGTATCCCTCTCTTTCTCTCTCTGTTTCGCTCACTCCCTTTTTTTGACCTTATTCATCATTTTCCAAATTTTTGCTCTCGTGCAAATGCAAGCAATATGGTGCATTCAAGTACCAAAATACACTATGATGGAGCGTTCACAGGCAAACAATGCTTTTTGTTTATGAAAACATTAAAATAACATATGTCTACTGTATTTTGTTTTAAGTCCCAAATTTAAATTTTTATCAGACTTTATTCTTGTAGCAGTTTAAAAAAAAATGCAGACCTCTCAAAATTCATGCATACAGTGAAATTTATAGTACAGCAAACTGAGCATGCTGGTTTAAAACTACTCAGCTGCAGTTATCTCATCTTTTTCCTGATGTTAGTGTTTCATCACTTTACAGTGGCATGTAAGTGTTTGCAGTTTACGCCACAACCCTGAGAGTCCTGAGTGCTGCGCTCTAATCTTCTAAATCAGCTGTGTTGCTTTCAGGTGCATTTTGCTTGCCTTCGCTCAGTCCACATGAAATGGAAAACGAGGCGCAGCATGGCCTCAAAGATGACCCAGAGTTGCGATGCAGCTGTGCTGGCTATAATAGGTGTTGTGACTGTAAATGTGTGACAGAGTGCAGTTTGTGCTTTGCGTTGAGGCTGCATCCTATTAAATATTTTTGCTCTAGGAGACACTCGAGGAATGTTTTTACCAGTCATGGTCCAGGGCACAAATCATGTGGGTCAAGTTTAGTTGCTGAATATGTGTAGAAATATTTAAAATGACAGTGATTATGTGAATAAGGAGTTTTTTGTACTACCTTTGTTTAACATACTGTCTCTTCAAACATCAAGGTGAATATAGGACATTCCAAATCAATACATTGGTGTTTGAGCAAATCTGTCTGGTTTCAGCTGTAGTTTCAGTTATTTTCTCCATAACAAAGACATTTTTACTCTCTCTCGTGTATGTTGGGGGCTGTGGCCTTAACCTGGAGATTTTAATAATTTGCTCAAACGTCTGTCTATCTGGTCTTCAGGGAATATAACCAGGATGTGTTTTAAGTGTTAGTACGAGCAGTCGTACAATGGGTTGAATGTTTGTTCAATCTCATCATACATGGTTTTTTAGGTAGACAAATTAAAAGCAGGCCCCAAACACATATTTGTCAAGTTCTCTATTAAATTATTGGAGGTTGCAGGTTCAACCAGGTCACGCAGTATTTACTCATTGCCTGTGAGCTTTAGCTGACGCTGTCATCCTCCTTTCCCCTGAGGGACACGGAGCTGAATCAGCTGAATCAGCTTCACCTCATCCCGGATGGTGCCACGGTAGCAGCGGGCAGCGGGCACCGGCAAGCCGGGCACAGGATGAAACGCAGAGGAGGATGAGATGTGGTTGTTGGGAGGGGGTGTCAGTGTTTGTGGAACTGAAGTAGGCCTTGTGATTCACGTGACAGCGTTTTGTGGCTGAACTTGATGGATCCTTGCTTTCTTTTTGTTTGTGTGCAAGTTTATTTAATGGATGTGTCACTTTGTCCCTGCAGAAATGTAGCTATCCAGAGAACGACACCCTCCCTAGGAAGGCTACCCCACCTCGTACATGKGTTGAGCCCTCTTGCCTGCTGGCTCAAATAAACACACGCACACAGCACCCACCCCCTGGGGAGCAGCAGGAGCTAGCTCTGGGGGATTATGGAGAGGAAAAAAGCTTTCAGGAGGACAGTCGTCTGCTTCTCTCCTGCTCCTCCATGGGCAGGCAAAAAAAACTCCCTTCTTCCCTCTAAGTCCCTTTCTTGGCACTGCCTGCCAAAAAAAACTGTGCCGGGCAGCTTTGCAAAAGGAAAGGAAGGCAGGCAGCCTATCCCTCTTTCTGTCTACATGGCGAAAAGAAATGGGCTCATTTAGCCAAAGCTGCCACGGTTAATGCTGAGCTCTGATAGAGGCTTTGGTGAGGTGAAATCCCTCCTAAAAAGCTCTGTTAGTGACTGTGGAGCTCTTGGGCTGCCGTTTCCTACAAGCCGTTGTCTCCTGTCATCCACCTACAGTGCCTGGTTGCTTGTGGGTGTTTTATCGACAGTACCACCCGTGACATGGCCTATCTCGGTCAGTGTCAATGCTTGCTTGCTTAGCAGAGCCATTGTGCCCACTCCCACCGACTGGTTTTGCTCCAGGAGCGCATAATCTGAATTCTGTGTTTGACCAATGGTCAAATGATTCCAAGCCTCCTCCCTGTGCCGCCCTCTTTGTGTTGGAAGGAGCTTGTTTCTTGTCATTCACCATGTCAAGTGTTTAGCTCTTGGCTCTCCACACAGGTAAACAGACGTTTATCACAAGGTGCTGGATGCCAAGCTGTGGCATGCTCAGGGAGAATATGTTGTTGACCTTGAGTTAAAATGGAGCTCTTATCATTAGTTGTCTTGACTGACAGCTGGGCGTTGATGAGAAAAATGGACGGCTCTATTTCTTCTATCTCCAGGGGGTACGGGGCTGCTGCCATGGTATGACTCATTCCTCGGATTTTCTCTCACTTGTTCTCTCTCTTTCTTGGTCTTTGCTTCGTTGATTTTTCTAAATTCAGAGAGTTAGGGCGTCTTCCAATTCCTACAAAGAAGAACATGTTTAAACAACAACACAATTATGATATTTAGTTACAGTCTTTCTGCTTGTACAACTTTTAGTGACACTTGACTACTGAAGAGATGCAGGCGGAATCCTTCATCTAACCACCACAGTGTTTATATAGACATTTTCTATAACTTCAGAGCCAAAGACATACGAATAAATAAAAGCAACCATATAGACATATATATACTTGGTAGATTTTTATAATCACCTCATCCAAGGAGATTATGTTTTTACCCCTGTCCGATTGTTGGTTGGTTGGTTTGTCAGCAGGATTACGCAAAAACTATTGAGTGGATTTCCACGAAACCTAGAGGAGGGATGGGGGCCAAGAAATAACCCATTCAATTTTGGGGAGGATCCAGGAAATTTTTTTTTCACTTTCTTTAACACTGTGAAATTTTTGTTATTTTCACCAATTACCCAGGTAATAATCATTGAATCTTAAAGAACAAAAATCAGACATATTTATGAATGATATATATGATTGTGTGCAGTCTGGTACAGCTTCTTTTTCTAAACACTGAGAGGAGAGAAACAAAGAAGAAAAAGAGTCTTGGCATCATAGCACATTCTGAACCCTTTGACCTCACGTCACGTAGAGGATGTCAGTTGTTATTTGTCTCTTTGTCTCTTTTAGGTCCTCAGCTCTGTGCGGACAGAAGGTAACCCCCTGGACTGTCGCTTCAGCCTGTTCCAGCCCTACCAGCTGCTAACAGTAGAGCTACCCGCAATACCCCAGGGGTCTGAAGAAGGGTCCTGGGCTAACACCTGTGTGTACGAATCTGCGCGAGGCCGCCTGCACCGGCTGTCCGTCACCCGCATCCCACTGCCATCCCAGCCCATTGCCTGTTCACGACACCCCTTAGAAACCACGCTCCTCCTGGGCTTAAGTGACTCATCCTTGGTCCTGTACGACCAGCGACGGGGGGTCTCTCTCCTTGCCTCTTGTCCTGTGCCACCTAACCTCCTGGCCTGGCACCCTGCTGGAGCTGTGGTCATGGTAGGGGGAGGGCAAGAAGAGCTGATGTGCTTTGATGTGGGCTTGGCACCTGTGAACGTGGCACTGGTGGCGGAGGAGGTGGCTTCAGCCGCTACACTAAGACTTCCTCAGCACCTGCGCTGCTCTGGAGGCCTGGAGGGGCTGCAGTGGGCCACAGGCCTGGAAGGAGGCCCAGAGGGGACAGATATGCTGATGTTGGCCTTTCATGAGGGACCACTGGCAGTTTTGAGATTCAGACTAGGTAGGTAAAATAAGATTCAAGAATGACACATGACTGCACTGAATATTTGGAAAATCAAAATCAAAAACCCTTTTAACAATTTTGCTTTTTATAATTTTTTTCTTTGATCGCTCAATCTGTCTTTAAGTCTCAACCTCTCTATATGTTGCCCGAAAATTATAAAAGAAGCCAATGACTGTTTCTCATTTCCCAATGTGATTCATTCAGATCACCTGTGGTTTAATACCCAAACATATTCAATATAAAGCATAAGACTCAAAAATCGAAAAATCCTCCCTTTTAATAAACTGGGATCAGATATTTAGCAACTACTAAAAATATATTAATTACTAAAATGGAATAATAGGATCTTAATTTAGATTCTGTTAAGAGGGTGTTAGAAGTTAAATGTACCTCAACATGTTGAGCAAACTAATGCAGGGTCTCAAAGAAGTATCAATGAGAAGTATCTACACTGCTAGAGATTAATGTGGAAAATGTATACATACTTTAAAATAAACTGTGAAACTACATGTACTAGTTAGATGATGCTGTGTAACCTGGATTGTCAGGTCATATACGATGATTCTGTGAGAATCAACAAAACCCTCCTCACCATCATTGTCATCTCGTTCTAATGAAGGAGTCTCCCTCCCTTCGGAGTCTCTCTCTCTGTTTGGATCTGTCGCTGTAACTGAACCTCGCTGTGTAAATGCGTCTGCTGAGTGGGTCGTCTCTCGCACCTCTCCACCGAGGGAAGTTAATTTGTTGGCGGGCGGCAAGGTTAGTAGGAGTCACGCTCTCAGAGGTCATTCGATAATCGCCCCGGGGCACGAGCCCCCTAGGTGCATTCTGGGATGCATTTTTCCGATAAATCGTTTACAGTGGCTGCGCAGTCCCTCGAGGCCCCCAGATAAAGTTTGCCAATCAAAACATTTTCCGAAAGCAGCCGCCTCACCTTCTGACACACAAGCATACACACACACACACTCATATAGTGTCATACACACACTCACACATTCAGCGTCTTCAAGTGTGACTTTGGCAAGAAGATGTGACAGTGGCACGCAGGTCTCTTCTGAAGTTTGAAAGCAGGAGTGTGGGGGCGGAGGGAGGAAAGTAGAACATTGTGTGTTTTTTAAGTTTGTGTGTGTATTTGACTGTGTTTGCCTGTGTGCACAGGGAAAGAGGGGAGGGTGTCTTCCAACAATAGCTTCCCCTTCTCTGATCGTCTGCCAAGGTTTTGATGAAGAAAGTCACTGCACGTCTTTTCTTCATGATAATTCCCCCCCCATCACGTGTGTGTGTGTATTCTTCCATTTCTGTGCTCCAACACACACACACACACACACACACACACACACACACACACACACACACATACACCATCTCATTTGTTTGTTTGCGCTCCTTCTCTGTATTGACTTGTTTCATAAGGCCCGCCACATGACAGAAGAAGTGAGTCAGGAAGCGCAGAGGAAGAAAGACTTGGCCAAGCTCCAATTTCTCCCTTTTACCACAGGAGGCAGCCCTCCCTACTCCCACCCCCCCCTGCCTCTACCGAGTTATCTCATCTGGGCACACGTTGGCCGTGGCTGGACCTGCACCGGTACGGGCGGTGGAGGGGCAGACCAGGGAATGTGCTGCACAACACTGCAGTTAATAATCGTTTTTGTAGATTCGGAAATTTAGTGAAATGTTATTAATGTTTTTTAAAAATGTCTAAAATGTCAATAATAAAAAATAATGCGGCTTCCGTCTCTCTTACGGTGGCAGGAGCTGATTTATGAAGCATTTTCATCTTTGTGAAGGATAGTGATTACAAAATTGAAATTTTCTGATTGATAGTCAGCAATACAAAAGTTTTAATGATTTTAATTATTTCATATTTTGGAAAACTTACCGTCATTGATTTGAATTGATCCCTTTGTACTCATTCTTCTCATGTACTTATTCGTGGCTGCCGTGTGTTCGTGCTGCTGCCGATCTTGTCCTGCTCAGTGTTTTGTGTTTTGTGTCTGACACAGTGATGCTGAAATGAGCTGGTCAAACAAGTGAGTGTAGACAGGTGTGGCACTGCAATGATCCATTGTCATTGTCACCAAGGACACCCCCCCCCACCACACACACACACAAACAGTACCAGCTCAGCTGATGTATTAGCCACATTAGACCACTCTATAGGGGATTTAGGGGCTTGCTAATTGCCAGCTTGTCATTTTAATTGCCAGTACACCCCTCCACATGCACACACACACACACACACACACACACACACACACACACACCCAATACCACACACACACACACACACACACACACACACACACACACACACACACTCCTTTTTACTTTGCTTTATTCTACATTTATTTCACAGTGGAGTTCTATTAATCATCCGTGTATTAGTATTAATTAT